TTGGTCTGCGCCTCTTTTAACACGAACATCCATTACTGAGCGTCTTAGATCGGACGATACGATTATCAAATCGATTATCGACTTCTATGCACAAGCTTCCCGGTACCAGGTGTACTGATGCACTCTTCGATGCTCGAAGAAGGTGTTCATAATAGACAATCCGTTGTTCGCACAAAACCGCAACAACTTCATGCCGTTATTGTTGAGGTCGATAGGGCCGTTTTTCCCAATCGCGCCGTTCCACTTTTCAGCGTCTACTCCAACGTGGGCATTAAAATCGCCCATAAGTGTGAGGAAGTCTGTACTCGGCACTTCGGACAGAACACATTGCTCTTCCTCAAGGAATGTATCATATACTCCCTCCAAGTTGGGTGCCTAGACCTGCACCAAGGTCAACGCTTTAGCCTGTTGTAGCTTCAGTTGGAAGATTGCCACTCTTTCGCTGATAGGCTTCCTTTCAGTGATTCTATCAACCAGGTTGGGTTCTACGAGAACTCCAACACTGGTCTGGATGGGTGCCGTGGTGTCGACACCTGAGTAGAATAGCTTCTACCTGCAGAAATTCAGAATTGGAGTGTGTTGGCGCTTCGTTGATGAGAGTCCAGTTATTAATCGAATTGGCACCTTTAGTCGTCATCAGCTACCTCCTGCTGTTTCCCTCTTAGTGCTAGTGTATTCCAGTTTTCGACTGTAAGCTCTGACTGATGGTATCGATTTCTTGGAGCCTTATCTGACGTGCAGTAATGACATGGAGTTGCCTTCCTCATCCGTTCAGATTGGGTAGCGACACCATTGCTGACTGATATCTTGTCGTTGTTTTGTAAATTTTCAGCAGACATTGTTGTGCTGCTATGCCAGAAAATGGTGACCAGGTTGTGATGACCGACTTTTCGCAGCCTGCCTCATTCCCCCAACAGCCTGCACGACCATTGGTAACACGGGCAGTGACCGAGCCGGTATAATTTTCGATGACGGGAATACCACGAGGGGCAGATGGTTACGTTTTGCGGAGATTCAGCCTTCTTGACCCTCATCAAGGCTTGGATTACGTAACGGCCGAGTTGCTGCATGGTGTTTTAAGTTTTAAGCGACAACATCGTGCCAAAGAAGTTTTATTTTGTGCTTACCGAAAGTCTTAAACTTCACATTAAGAAGTTTGTATGATGCACAAGATGCATATCACTTGCACTGAAATCGCATGCAGAACAGCAATGAAATCAACTGGGAAATAATGAGGGATAGAAACGTAAACAGAAACAACTTTTGCACATTGCTTGTCATTTTTACATTTATTTCGAGGCCTACCAGAATGAAATCAGCATCTTTGCTTGCTTTAGGTAGCGGATTTGATGTCATGCCTGGCGAATGCGGATCAGCGGCCCTATTTTGAAGATAACTGGGTTATGGAAATTTGCAACTACGTTCTTAGCACTGACGAACAGCTTGCTATGAATGTAATCCAGGTAGGTTTGGCAGACTGAATGACGCTGTAAAGTTTTAAATGTGAAAGTTACAACGGATTTTACGACTTTCATGATCGTCTTTCTTCCGCGCCGTTGCTGTCCCTGGGTATTCGGGTAAACCAGTAAATTTTGTTACCTTTTTTGTAACTGTGTTTTGTTCTTCTTTGATATGACTGCCAAGGTTAGGGTTGCTCAGTTAGTGGAGAGTTATACTCAGAACCGAGAGATTCTGAGATAGAACTCCCGGTCGGATCACTCCTGTTTCTTTTTCTGAGTTTGTTAAATGAATACAATTCTATGGGAAAGAAATAGGAGACTAGACGCTATGCTGGCCACATAGCTGTTGTCGATTCACTGTTTAAAATAAGTCACTCCTGGATGATGGCATGGAAATAAAAACCAGCGCCCCGTCAATAAGATTATGATTAGAAGGGTTCAAGAAATGATTCCAAAACGACAGTGCAAACCGTTACAAACTTCGCTTTTTCACGAAAAAATGTTCGATATGTGTTGAATATTTCGTGTGTATTAAATATTTTAGTTCTTATAGAATCTACTGCCAAAGCTTGCCAAAATTAATCTCGCGTCGATGATCTCATGTGCAGAGTCAGTTGTACTTCAGTGTTCCAGTAAGATTCTTTTTTATTATATTGTTTTTCGGTAAGTGTGGAAGAATCTGGTTAAATCTTGTCTTTACGTTTGCAGCATTTATGTATATCAGTTTAGTGATGCATTCGTTCATTACTGGTAGCTTCAAATCGCTTCAAAGTGCAGGTCTGCTGGGAAGGACGAAGTCTGTATTGAAATGCTAAAATTTTGGTTGTGACGGTCCCTGTGGCTAACTCGTATGTCAAGTTGCCTGAAGTTCTGAAAAACAGTCTTCATCCAGCGTGATTAGCCGTATGTTCAGAAAACGGCAACAGACAAATGCAGCTATTACGAGGACATGTCTTTGCTTAGCTTTCCCGGGTTTGCTCAGTCGGTTGAGTATCAGACTCAGACTCTGAATCGAGAAGTCCCGAGTTTGAGCTCATTTCACTGGCCAGTTCAGTTCAGTTTGGTCAGTTCACTGGCCTTTCTTTTTCCGAAGTTGATAAATGAGCACAACTCTGTGAGACGGAAACACGAGACTATAGGCTGTGCTTGCCACAAAGCTGCTCTCGACTCTGCCTTTAAGATAGTTGACGGTAGGAAATGGAAATGAGCACCCCACCACCAACGTAACTTAGCTAAGCATCCAGCTTGCCCGATGAAGTCTGAGCTAAACGGTTTTAAAGAAGGTGTAGAGAAATGGTAGACCAGAAGGCTGACTTTCCTTTCACTCTATGCTCTCCAGTAGGTCTGCAGAAATTGTTGGAATTTTACGACATAAGTTTATACTTGTTTCATAGCTCTGTAAGCCGACTTCGACGTTTGCCATTATCGACGCTGTAGAGAATACTTCAGAGATATGAGGCTTTGTCAGCCAGCTACTTTGGGGGGGGGTTGAGCTGACGTAAAATCCTTATACGACTGTTAGCTGGTCTATCTGCAGACTGACGAGAAGCTGTTGGTGCATTGAATAATGCCTGTTCGACTCCATCAAGGTTGCATGTTGTCTGAGTTTAGAGTTTCTGTATGATGAATTAGAAGGCAGATCGCAATCATGGAGAATCTCACGTATGCTATGCTCAGTTGAGTCATCTGTTGCTCGCAGACAATTCCTTCATGTTTTGCTCTTCTCATATCTGCCATCTCATTTAAGTTGGCTGCCACATTCAAATCAGTTCGACCGAAATTGAAACATAGTATTCTTGAGAAAGACTACTAAATAAATATCTGAAAGAGCATTCCTCAAAGTTCAAATTTTCTTCCTCGTCGTATGGTGAAGTGCAGTGCATTCGCTCCTTAGCCAATAAATTTACCCTGAAAGCGTTTTGTACGTAAGTAAATGAACGACTAAAATGATTCTGATGAATATCCTTGGGCGAATCACTTGCCCAGCGGACTTTGTTCACAAGTTTGTTCATTCCCTGACGATGACCGATGCCACTTGGGTCGAAGCTTATTGCCAGCCATGGAATCAGAAGACCTATAAGTTTCGAATGTATTGCCGTGTGTCGGTGTTCGGTGATCACTGTCGCACTGAACCGTGATTTGACATTCACAGTATCCTGAGTTGTGCAGTGTCGCAACTCTTTTTGGGCGCTTGCTCGTTTTGGTTTTCGAATATGTTACGTCCTGTTTAGCTGAGCGCGTAGCCTTCTACGAGCTATACCTCGACTGGGTTGCGTCGTTTATGCGTGCGCAGAACTGGGACATGCGGCAAGTGGTTTCGGCACCGGTCGTCGATCATCTGTTGTTTTGCACACG